CAAAAGGGTTCTTTCAGGTACACAGAAGTAAGATTAGGGACAAGATTGGCCCACTTAAGAGTAACTCTGGTCAATCCTGTCAATGACCCAAGGATATTTTGTGAAATTCTAAATACCTACTTCCTCTTAGTTTTTTACCCAGGAAAATACTAGCGATATTCCTGAAATAATAGATTACGTAGAACAGGATGTTAATAAACTATGTACGATTGCGGTAACTAGTGACATGGTCCTCTTACAAATAGAGAAAATAAAACCTAACAAATCCCCAGGTCCTGATGAACTGTTTGCAAGGGTGTTAAAGGAATGTAAAGAGGAACTTAGCATACCTTTGGCTAATCTTTTTAACATGTCACTACAAACTGGCATAGTGCCTGATAAGTGGAAAATGGCAAATGTAATACCTATTTACAAGGCAGGTGACAGGTCCTTGGCTTCGAACTATAGACCAATAAGCCTTACCTCCAAAGTGGGAAAATTTATGGAATCAATAATTGCCGAAGCAATTCGTGGCCATCTTGACAGGCACAAACTGATTAATGATTCTCAACACGGTTTTACAAAGGGGTGTTCCTGTTTTACGAATTTACTAACTTTTTTCAGTAAGGTGTTTGAGGAGGTAGATCATGGTAATGAATATGATATTGTGTATATGGACTTCAGTAAGGCTTTCAATAGAGTTCCACACCAGAGGCTATTGAGGAAACTTAGGGCACACGGAATAGGAGGAGAAATTTTTTCCAGGGTAGAGGCATGGCTGACAAATAGACAGCAGAGAGTTTTCATAAATGGGAGAAATCAGAATGGGGGGCACGTCACAAGCGGGGTTCCTCAGGGTCAGTATTGGGCCCGTTGTTTTTCACAATTTACATAAACGACATAGATGAGGGAAAAAAATAGCGACATAAGCAAATTGGCTGAAGACACCAAATAGGCCCTCCAGTTCATTCTAATGAGGGCATTAGAGCACTCCAGGATGATTTGAATAGACTGACGCAATGGTCGGAGAAGTGGCAGATGCAGTTTAATATTGACATTGCAAAGTTCTAAATGTTGGACAGTTAAATAACCATGCCACATATAAACTAAATAATGTAGATCTTAATATTACCGATGCGAAAAGGATTTAGGAGTTCTGGTTAGCAGTATTCTAAAACCAAGACAACAGTGCATTAGTGTTCGCAATAAAGCAAACAAAATTTCTTGGCTTCATATCTAGGAGTATAAATAATAGAAGTCCTCTGGTTGTTCTTCAACTCTATATATCCTTGGTAAGGCCTCATTTAGACTATGCGCTCAGTTCGGGTCACCGTATACAGAATGGATATAAAATGCTCGGGAAAAAACGAAACAAAGGAGGATGACAAAGATGATCCATGTATCAGAAATCTTCCCTATGAGGATAGACTGAGGGTCCTGAATCTGCACTCTCTCGAAAGGCGTAGAATTAGGGGGGATATGATCGAGGTGTATAAATGGAAAACGGAATAAATAAAGGGGATGTAAATAGTGTGCTGAAAATTTTTCCCGCCAAGACAGACTCGCAGCTATGGTTTCAAGTTGGAAAAATTCGATTCTGGGAAAGGATATAGGAAAGTACTGGTTTTTTTAAAAGAGTTGTGGATGAGTGGAACCAAAATCCCGAGTACAGTTATTTTAAGCTAAACCGTTGTGTAGTTTTAAAAATAGGTTAGATAAATACATGAGTGGGTGTGGGTGGGTGTGAGTTGGACCTGACTAGCATGTGCTGCCGGGTCTGGTACAGTGCTCCATCCTTGAGTGGGGATGACCAGACTGGGTGGGTCATTGGGATAATTCGGGGGGGTGGGGTGTCAATGGTCTAATCCGGGGGGGGGACATGGACCTGCTCCGCATGGGTCAGTAGGCCTGTTGCAGCGTTCCTTCTTTCTTATGCTCTTATGTTCTTATGAAGCAAAGCTGAAGGGGATCGGAGAGTTTTACTGGGGAGAAATAAATGGGTTTAGGTCAGGGGTTTCTAATAGAGTTAGAACTAAGAAATGTGTAGCAATAATGTTGAAGGATAAGTTATGGCAGGAAAAGAAGGAATATAAATGTATAAATTCAAGGATAATGTGGAGTAAAATAAGGGTTGGATGTGAAAAGTGGGTTATAGTAAGTGTTTATGCATCTGGAGAGAAGTGTAGAGGAGAGAGCGAGATTTTGGGAAATGTTGAGTGAGTACATGGGGAGTTATGAACCAAGTGAGAGAGTACTTGTGGTTGGGGATCTTAATGCTAAAGTGGGTAAAAATGTTGTGGAAGGAGTAGTAGGTAAATTTGGGGTGCCATGGGTAAATGAAAACTGGAAGCCTTTAATTGAGCTATGTGTAGAAAGAGCTTTGGTAATAAGTGATACATAATTTATGAAAAGGAGGATAAATAAATATACAACATATGATATAGCACATAATGAAAGTAGTTTGTTAGATAATATAATGGTGGATAAAAGGATGATGGGTAAGCTTCAGGATATACATGTTTATAGAGGGGCAATGAATATATCGGATCATTATCTAGTTGTAGCTACAGTCTGAGTAAGGGATAGACGGGAAAAAAGGAAAATAGCAGCAACAAGTAAGAGAAAGGTGAAAGTTCATAAACTAAGGGAGGAGGAAGTTAGGTTGAGATATAAGAAAATATTGGCAGAAAGATATTGGGGGGGGGTTGAAGAGGGTTAGGATAGTTTTAAAAATGCAGTATCAGGATGTGGGGCAAAGGTTTGTGGTTAGGAGGGTGGGTGCAGGAGGAAAGAGGAGTATTGGTGGAATGATGAAGTAAAGGGTGATAAGAGAGAAAAAGGTAGCTTATGAAGTTTTACAAAGCAGAAGTGAAAATAAGAAAGGCAGAGTATTTGGAAGTAAAAGAAAGGTGAAGAGAGTGTTTTAGAGAGTGTAATAGGAGAGCCACTGGAGGGACACTGTCAAAATTTTGCTGAGAAATAAAAAAAAATTGGAGATAACAGGTTACGAAAACCTGGGAAGGAAGGGGGTTTTTTTTCATTAAAAAACAGAGTGGGGGAGTTAGAAGCATGCGGGTATTGGGGAAGGCAGGAAATTTTGGACTTTGAAATGTCAGTGAAGAGAGGGAAAATTTTCATCCGGCCAAAGGTAAACATATTTTAGAAGTAATGAAGAGCGATGTGATTAGAGGATACGTAGGCTTATGTAAATGAAAGGGGGTAAAGCACTGGGAAAGACGGGATTATACAAATGTTAAAAACAAGGGAAGGATCCCAGTGTTCAGTGATTGATTTCTGTTTTAAAAAATTATGAAAAAAAGGGGAAGGGGCCTAGGGACTGGGAAGAGCATGTAAAATTTTTTTTACATAAAGGGAAAAATTCTATAAATAAGCTTACTGTGTAACCCGTAAAATAATGGTAGGGTTTTATTATTGAAAGAATTATAGGTAAGACAGCAAGACTGCAGATGAGCAAGGAGGCTTCAGAGTGGGTAGGGGATGTGTAGATCAAGTGTCTACATTGAAACATATATATATGAGCAGTATTTAGATTTAAATGTAGGGATGTTTTCATTGCATTTATGGATTTAGAAAAGGCATGTGATAAAGTGGATAGGGAAGCAATGTGACAGATGTTCCAAGTGTATGGAATAGGTAGTAAGTTACTAAATGCTGTAAAGAGATTTTATGAGGATAGTGAGGCTCAGATTAGGGTGTGTAGGAGAGAGGGAGATTACTTCCTAAAACTTAGGTTTTAGGGATGTGTAATGTCACCATGGTTGTTTAACACATTTATACCTGAGGTTGTAAAAGAAGTAAATACTAGGGTGTTCGGGAGATGGGTGGGATTAAATTATGAGTAATCAAATACAAAATGGGAATTGACACAGTTACTTTTTGCTGATGATACTGTGCTTTTGGGAGATTCTAAAGTTGCCAAGGTTAATGGACGAGTTTGTGATTGTGTATAAAGGTAGAAAGTTGATAGTGTACATAGATAAGAGTAAGGGTATCAAATGATTTAGAAAAAGAAAAACTAGATATCTCGTTGAAGGGAAGGAGTATGGGAGAAGTGAACGTTTTCAAATATTTGGAAGTTGACTTGTCAGCAGATGGGTTTATGAAGAATGAGGTTAAGCATAGAATTGGTGAAGGAAAAAAGGTGAGTGGTGAATTGAGGTATCTGTGGAGAAAAAAAAAACATTATCCCTGGAGGCAAACAAGAGAAGGAAAGAGAGTAAAGTAGTACCAACACTCTTGGGTTGGGTTGTATATGCAGCAGCGAGGAGGCTGGAGGCAGTGGAGATGTCCTGTCTAAGGGCAATGTGTGGTGTAAATATCATGCAGAGAACTAGTAGTGTGGAAATTGGGAGGAGGTGTGGAGTTGTTGAGGTTGTTTGGTCATTTAAAGAAGATAGAATGAAGTAGAATGACTTGGAGAGTGTATAGATCTCTAGGGGAAGGAAGGTAGGGTAGGGATCATCCTCGAAAAGGTTGGAGGGAGAAGGTAAAGGAGGTTTTGTGGGCGAGGGGCTTGGACTTCCAGCGAGCTGTTGGAGTGGTCGCAATGTTCTTATAGATTCAGTACCACTCTTTCGTGGTTACAATATATATATACTGCAAGTGAAGGCTAGCACACCAAGCGGGTATTAGAATGAAATTCACTCAGAGGCAGCCACATCACCGTTTGTCCTCGGAACAAGGTAAAACACCTAGCTGTGATGGGTGCTTGATTCTTGTAGGATTGCGTGGTCCTGTGGGTTAGAACGTCATGTGATTTTCGCTCACCATGAGGCGGACCAAAACGACATGGGTTCGAATTTTAAGAAACTATTGGCTTTTGAATCACATAATATATAATGTGGATTACTCTGTAATAAATTAGTTCGATTTGGAAAAATCACGTGTCTTTTTAAGCGAATTTGTTGGTATCTATTACCAAGGCTTATACCGTAATTTGTAAATAATTAATTAGAAAATCATGTTGTACTTTCATCTGAGAAAGAAACTTATGTTAACAGAATACCTGGCACTAACGTGGTTCTACGTCCTGGAGACTTGGTGACCATCCCATTCTGGAGTTTACACCACGATCCTCGCTACTGGCCTGAACCTGAGGTGTTTCTTCCAGACCGCTTCTTACCAGAGAACAAGACCAATATTACAAGCTTCACTCACATGCCCTTCGGAATGGGTCCTAGAAACTGTATAGGTAGGTATAGTAGCCTAATTTTATTTGGAGAAGTTTGGTTTTATTAATAATGCTATTCTATAGTACTAAAAATATAAAGGTCTTCCAAACATCAATTTGCTGTTTTCATTTTTACTTTGCATTTTCTTCCTATAGCTATGCGGTTTGCCTTGATGGAGGCCAAGGTGGCACTCGCTAAATTGCTACTGAAAGCAGAAATTCACCTGAGGAACAGTGGCGAGGAACTAAAACTGGAACCATCTCCCTTCCTACTGAGACCAGAAGGAGGGGTTAATCTTGTGGTTTCTCCACTAACAGCGAAAACAAATAAACAGTGAATTAAGCTTATCAGTGTAGTAAAAAATGAGATAAGAAAGCCAAAGAGATTTAAAGTTGCAGGGACATAAAAACACCCCAAAGGGTCAGCTTACTGAAAATTTATAAAAAAAATGTGTACCATGCAGAACGTCTCTTTGGCATACAAATAAGGTTCCACATAACCGGCTTACCTGCAAAATTCTAATGGAGTCCCTAAGACAGAATATTTCTTTTGACATCCTGTCAACAGTCTCGTGGCTGCGCTCCAGAACTATCCCAACTCTCTTGAAGTTTCCATTCAGCTCACTGTCGAGAAATATGAGACAACTCACTTCCCTTTCTAGACGTCTTACTTTATAAAGTTTATCACATCTCAAATTTAATGTTTGATAAAACCAGTATATAAAAACTACCTTACACAATTATTCATCAATTGTGACTGAAAGTTACAACGAGGTGTCTTGATTTATATCTGAGAACCCCGAAGATTTCATGAGAGTGTAAGAACATTAACATCTTACCTTTAGAATACTTTCCATCATGCTTCGTCTGAAACAAACGATGGGCTCACGTAGGTTTCTTTTATTTCTTATAGGCAACAATATAGATCTACCCAAAACATGTCATGTCGACAACGTTTTCTAATACTACCAGACCTGGAGACACAGAACCAAAGACCAGCAGTGATCTCCACCCTCTGTTAGTTTTTTTGGTTCTCACCGGTCCTTACTATGGTGTGAATCGATATAAGCAGTGAAGCAATAGATAACAGAAAGAACATAATAGGAGAAAATGAGTAAACATTTCCTCCTTGCACTTTACTGGTTTCCTTCCTTCTCTTCCTCCAACAATCTACTCACCCTTAGGTAATAAGCACAGACCTGGCCCTGACAATTAACCAAAAGTCCACTACTCCTACATCCTAAATTCTAACTACCAGTAAAAATCACTGATTCAGTATGAACTATTTTTTATATGGTCAGTTAGCGTATAAGAACAATGGGAATCGTGTGCGAAGTCCTGGAAAATAACATGAAGAGTTACATGTTCGTTGTGTTTGTGTACCCATCACATCTCATGTGCAAGTGTAAACATTCTTCAAATTGACAGGAAGACGGCGTGTCGATTTGCCGAAGGAATAAAAAGACATTGGACAAGTGTTAGGAATGTACGAGGCTGTTACTAAGTAGCAATAATTAGGAAATAGGGACTTTCCTGGATAGTCTGTCTATACTGTAAAAGTTTGCAGAGATAAGGATATATTAAAAACAAACATCAATCTTGTACCCAGAGGGACAACAAATTCACAAGAATGTGAGAGAGATGTTGATGGGAATATTTACAAAGTTAATTAAAGAAAGCTCAGCAGCTAACTCAGATAGGACTGTAGATTCCACTCGAGTAATACAAACAGTAAAACAGGAAGAAACAGACTGCCTGCATGCCCAAAACCAGTCATAGCATAACCAGTTTCAAGAAAAGAACCAAAAGGGCCTAACGAATGTAGCGACAGAAAGGGGGGAGAAAAGATTTTTTTATTTTTTAGTTAACAGACATGTTAAATGTAAATAACTCGTTTTAAACCTTATTCCTAGTATATCTCCTTTATAGTATAATAATATATTATACTATAAAGGAGATATACTAGGAATACGGTACAGTGAGTTATTTATATTTACATGCGTGTTAACTAAAAAAAATAAAAATCATTCTCCTCCTTTTCTGTCGTTACATTCATTAGACACCTTTTGACTCTCTTCTTGAGCTGGTTCATATTATGACTGGCTTTGACATGTGCAGGCAGCCTGTTTCATTCCTTTATTGCTGTATAATAATAAGGTATTAAAAGGACCCCAATGGAAATAAGTCACTCTGACTTTCTTGGGTTATCCTATGTTCACTATACATATGCTCTTGTGTATGATAACACTGTCTAACAAAATTTCATTTTTTTTCGAGTTCCTGAAAAATAAGCATCACTTCCCAATTCTTTATAACTAAACAAAATTTAAAAAAGTAAATTTTGATCTCAGAACTTTTCTTTTGTGGTCCTGGCACTTCTGAACACTTTCAAGAAAGACCGATGTACAACTATTATGTTCTAGGGTTTTGCTTGGCAAATATAAACACAGGGGCTCATAAACCAGCATTCAGTTATTTCTGGCTACTTAAGAAGACACATCAGAAGAAGTGACATGGCATCACGAGGCTGCAATAATTCTCCAGATGCATTCTGCTACATATGTGGTCAGTTCAATAAGACATAAGAAATTCTTTGTAACAGCATCTAAAAAAAATGTGTGAAGCTTACAAAGCATATTTTGTCATGCCAGTTGTGGACCAAAACAAGACCTGGGCGCCTCATGTTGCTGGTGAACATTGTAAGAAAACATTGTAAGGTAAGAAAGTCATTAGTTATATGAAGGGTAAAATCTTGAATATGGAAATTTTTTTTAAATGAAATGTATGTAACAGAAACTAATTCTTTTGTTCTTTTACAGGATGATACAGAGGAGAAAAAAGAGCTTTGAAGTTTACTGTTCCTAGAATATGGCGTCAACCCACTGATCACTCAACCAACTGCTACTTCTTTCTATATATAATATATATATATATATATTAAATATATATATATATATATAATATATATAATATATATTATTATATATATAATATAATATATATATAAATATATATATTATTTAAAATAATATAGCACAACATATAAATAAATAAAATAACACATGAATTAGCCATTTGCAAATACAATGGCCTACATCAACCCCATTGCATACCCTGAATATTTTGTTCATATTTATTAAAGTATATCCCATCACCTAACAGGAGGAAAAGAGGAAGATAGCTCCTGCACAGAAAATTACATTAACAAAGTCAAAACCTCACAATTCATGCTTGTGCAAAAACCAAAACACTGTACAATAAAACTCCTTGCACAAAGTAAACAGAAAATATAATACAGCATACAAAAGATAAAATTATACATTGCAATAACTTAAACAAAAGACAAACCCAAGCCTACAATAAACAGTGCAATGACACATACCACAATAAAACTTCCCGCATAAACAATGAGCAGGAAGCACCTAACAAAATGAAAAGAGCAAGAGAGCTACAGCCCAGAAAATTACATTAACAAAAATCAAAACCTCATAATTTATGCCTGTGCACACACAAAACCCCCCACAGAAAAACCCCCTTGCACAAAGTACACAAAAATTATAATACAGCATACAAAAGATAAAATTATTCATTACATTAACTTAAACAGTAGGCAAACCAAAGCCTACAATAAACATTACAATGACACATACCCCTATAAAAACCCAACATAAACAACGAGCAGGAAACACCCGCAAGTAAAAGACATAACATTATATATACAAGAACAGCCCATACAAATAACAAACTCATGACATAATGGAGAACAAAACGCCTCCCAACTCAGTGACCCACACCAGGTCAAAGAAAAACCATATAACTACATTTAAGCTCCCCTAAGTACATTCCAACAAGATATGTATCAAAACTGCTTACATACAGTACATAAAAACCCTATCTCCCTGTTTGAAACATAATAGTACTTCATTGTAAAAATAAAATTTTACAATGCATTAACATGAAACAAATGGTGACACTTAAGTATGTAATAAGCGTTCATAGGACACTGAATAAAAGAATAAGCAGGAAGCACTTGCAACTAAATCTTAGCCCGCCATATATGCATTAAACAGCCCATACTATCTGGATGTAACTCATAAGATACATACCAGTAAATGGTAACAAAGATAATTATTCTTTATCAAGGTTACAGAGACAAGTAGGAATTTTAGGACACCTAGGTAGCAAAAACTGTCCTTCTTCGATACCTACGATAATCTATCTCTCCACAAGTAACTCTGGACCTATATTAATTTCAAATGAAATATACATCACCGGGAACTCTGGTAAAAACATTAATATAAATATGTGGACTGTATATTAAATTTAAGATGTGAATACATATACGTTGAAGGAGAATTTATAATAATACGACTCACCAATTTGTCTGGAGATTACTTGGTATATCATACACAAACCCCTGCCTAAATATGAAGAAAATACTGGCCAGAATTTCAACATAAAATAGACATGATTTAGTTGGGTTTGGGGTTTCCT